CTGGACAGCTACTTACTCCCAGTATGAGACTCTTCATAAATGCACGTCTACTATCCCACCTGAGATCGAACTTAAGATCCTCATGTTTCACGGCAAGCGCCTACACTTAGACTAATAAACCAGTTCTTACTGCATAAGATTGTTAGGTATGCTGAGGAATATACCAATCATTATCATGTTAAGTCTAATGATGTCTTTGGACTCTAAATGGACATTCCCTATTGGCCATTATTTATTTCACTCGTTAAATATTGTGTAAATGTTGTTTTCTATTTTATGGTACGATGTGGTTTGTTTGTTTGCTATATAAATAGAGTATGTCTGAAATATGATGATTCATAACTCAGAGGCTGTGACTTGCGTTCTAGACTCAACTGGCTGGGCTAGACAGGGAAGCAAGGCCAATCAGGACACTAGGTCATTCACTGCGTGTTTTCCGTGTCACTGTAATCGATCGATAAAACGCTGCGTATCAAAACCTGCAGTCACCCGTTACAACAAGGATTCCTATAACCTTAAACGTACAGGTTCGCATTTCTGAGCATATTCCGAAGAACTTGACGCTGTGAGGGACTAAAGCTTTTAACAGTGCAATAGCTCGGCATCTACTTGATACCGGGCATACCGTCGATATTATACGCGCGTTTAAAATTATCAATAGACAAAGAACTACTACCACTCTCCGCTTTGCTGAAGCCATTGCAATCAAGAAACTGAAACCGGACTTATGCATCCAAAAAGAGACTTTAATAAACTTATCACTACCCTGGTAATCTTTTTGTTTCTGTTTGTTTTGTGTTTTGGTTATTTTATTCATTTACTTATTCTAAGATATTTTATACTCTCCCCTATTACCTAATTCTTAAAATAAATTTTATTCACACATTTCCACCACCTGGTCCTCTTAAATCATCTTAACTTTCCAAACCCTATTTAATTATTATTACGTAATCTACCTTATCATTATTTAATTCCATTAATCTCTACAATTATCACACAATTTAGGAACTTCACTAAATTATTACACCACCCACCCTGGATTAACCCCCCTCTTTTGACCTCTGACCTGTTTCTAGCATATATATATGGTTATTATTGTAATCAAGTTATTTACACTCATTTATGTCAATTGTTTTCACACTATCTCCATGTAAAAATTCTATCACAATTTCGGTTTGTAAGCAGCTGACGAGAAACCTCGAAATAATATGAATTCATACTATTCTGTATCAATGTTTGTTCTTGCTCTATTTAAACGTTTTAACTGCCTCATCTAAACGATGAATAGATTTTACGATTCATACACATATTTGATTTTCAGTTATGCTTTTTTAATGACTTAATATCACAGTAAAAACCAACATGAATATCAGGAAATCAATTTATCTAAAAACAAATAGATTCAATGCATGAATTAAACAAGTTTGTTTGAAATTATCAGATAGGAAATTAAGTCACCTCGTTACTATGGCGTTAGAATTGTAACATTTTAAAATTGAAATCGGTTTTAAGAATCCGATTTGATTATGATTAATTAATTTTACACAGAATAATTTATAGTCCGTTAAAGTGATTATGATAACTGCTTTTAAAAAGTATAGAAATACTACTCTAAACCTTACCTTATTTATATTTGTTTTCGGTAGACAAGTAACATAACTAATCTGCATATGACAAATGTCATGTGCAAACACCGGTACTTAATTACTGAATTATATTAAATATTATTTCTTGATGCTAATTGTACATAGAATAGATTACTGTATTAATAAATTATAAAACTAAATGATACAATAACTAGATGAATGCTGAAGTTGAAAGTAGCATTTGATTTGTCAATATTTTTTGATCTTCGGTTCAATGTCTGAGAAATACAGACTGCTGACAGGTTTCAAAGTAAAATAGAACAGCTGTCGTGCGAGTTCTGATTTTTAATTATTCATTAGCTAAATCATATTCTGAGTGAAAACTATCGAACTAATCTCTACAAATTATCAAAATCTATTTTGGTAATTTTGTTTGGCAATAACACATAGTATTCCGATAGTTTTCAATGTAGAGAAAAAAGGAATAAACAAAACCCCCTTCTGATAATAATAATAATCATCTGCTCACTAATGACTGACTTCAAGAGGCATTTCCTGGAGTTCTAGTGAGAAACTGTGACCAATGGAGTTGAATTGGGTCTATCGTGAGATAGTAACTCACTAAAGACAATGGTGGACGGTGGCTCAATTTCGTGGATTAGTTGAAGTTAGACATTAACACCGGCGGATGCCGACTCAGTGATCTAGAGGTTGGGCGTTTGCACGCGATACCGAAGGTCCTATGTTCGGATCACGCGGGCGGGGTCGTAGATGAGCACTGCTGAGGCGACCCATACTAGGACGAAACGGCCGTCCAGTGCTTTCAGGTTTTCCATGGTGGTCTAGCTTTAATCCAGCTATTAAATTACCGAAATCTCCACAAGACCCTCTTCTGAGGATCAGCAAATCTTTCCATATTTTCATGAAATTACATGAGTTTAAACTCTAATTTTTTGTATGGATAGTCATTTTAGAAGGAATATAAACATTTTATTCACTTAAAATTTCAAAATGAACAAAGCTAAAAAATAAGGTGCATTATTCATTTTCTTAAAGAAATCTTTTTACAAAAATGTTTAGCGGTAATATTCTTCACACGAACTCAGCTAGAGAACCAATGAGGACGTAGAATCAGTCAATTCACCTCTACAACCATACACGAGATTGAGTCTGAGATCCTTAGGTCTTTTTATCAACACGGTATTATTCCATCTTTGACTCAACTAATCTAGTTGATATCAGTTTACAAACAAATTTACACTTAAATTATACATAAATCTCCATAATTATTTAAACGATGCAAATAAATGAGTAATGTAAGTTTTGAGATTTAGTGTTTTGAATAATATCATAGATTGCTTGTTCAATCAATGATTCACATCATTTTCATAATTCAATCAAATCAAACCTAGAAACTTTATTAGTTAGCCGTAAAAGTACAGAATCGGTCATTTGAATATTTTATAAGATCAGTACCATGTATGTTAACCAGTGTTGCTTTAATTTTGTATCACAATTCAATTGTATACAATTCAATTTTTTTAACCATGTTTATCTCACTTAGTAATTATGTTGGGAATTAATCTAAAATAACTTTGATATAAACTAAAAGTCCATTTCTAAGATGTAAAAATGCAATTTCGAAATAACAGATTTTTAATTATCATACTTATATTGTCTTGATTTTAATATTGTACAACAATTGGTAACAAAACAAAGTAAATTGTACCGAAGTTATAATGTATATTCTTTTTAATAACCCAACACTTACAAATATCAATGTTCTATGCAGATAAATAAATGGACGCCTATTGAAAATAATACTGATAAAAAAAGACTAGTGAAACAAAATAACTAAACAAGTTTACTTTCCTCATTGAAAATGAAAGTTTACAGGTTATTTAGCTCGATTTTGCAACTAATAACACTCGTTAGCTTCTTTCATGACGAGTATGTTTATAAGTTTTGAAGTAATTTTCATAGTTTTTATCGAATAAACTATTTCTGAGGTTTAATTTAAACATAAATTACCTTAAAGATTAAACTAGTAGTGTTTAGCACTATATTTCAATATAAAACTCCTAGTCTATTGAAGTTGAAAGTTACTTACTTACACCTTTTTATCCTTCATGGAATAGTATAGGCCACCAATCAGCATTCTTTAAGTTGAAATTTATCTCTTGAAATATTAAATTTTGTACATAAATTGATAAACTAGTAATCTTATTAATCCTACAAATTATCTAAGGTTAGTATTAGAAGGGGTTTTGTGAAGATTGTAGTAATTGTAGTAATGGGTGCGCACTGCTGAGGAATCCCACAATAGGACGAAACGGCCATCCAGTGCTTCCAGGTTTTCCATGGTGGTCTAGCTTCAATTGATTCATGATATCTAAGGTTAGTTGAATATTTCGAAGTTTCATTCCAACGATAATGCTAAAAATTTAGAAGAACAAAGTTCGTTAATATTCTAAATATTATACAGTTATGAATATCAGTAAGTAACAAAAGTATGCTTGAAACTGTTTTTATTCTCTGTAAAATTCATTAATGTATGCTCAGGATTAATGAAACCACTATTCGAATATTAAAATTCCATTATGATTATGGCTTATCAATGTGTTGTCTAAGTAGAGTATAAAACCATAATATGGTCACACTATCTCTTGATTTCAATGATTGGAAATGTTCATATTTAACTGCATTTCATTCACTTCGTTTAGATAAATGATTTTTATATTAAAAGTTTAATAATAATAGCTAATACAGACTGATTCGTTGCAATTCTTAATTTTGACAATAGGGAAATACAAGACATTGCAAGTAAACCCCACTCCCATTACAATATCATCATACTGTATCTGTTAATTGTTAATAAACCTTACTTATGTCCATATATATATCATGGATTAGAAAATAAATTAACAATATTAGAGTTACTTGGTAAAATAGAAAAACCATACTATAATACCTCATTTGCAAAATGTTCAATAATTGTCTCGGACTTCATTGTTCTTACATTTCTATACTAGTTACTTTCTACTCCCATTCTTCCTTCCTTGATCTTTCCAATCTTCTGCTGCCAGACATTACATTCCTGACTCGCATTATATACTACTTATGTTAATATAAGCAGCACGCACCACAATACTCTCAAAACAAAATTACTTATTAATAAATTTCTGATACCTTACTTTCAATTTTCATTGATACTTGATCTTAATTGTATTCCGTTTTCATTCCTTTCACTAATCTATACAATAAGAAAAAATTATCTTTCCGTATGACATTTTCATCGATTTAAACCAATACATGTTCACTCTGATTTTTTTTTTCTAGTCAACAGTGACCTCGGCCCAAAATAACAACTACAACAGTGTTCAACATACATATTGAAGAATTACACTAACAATTATGACAATATTGTTCAAATATTTTTCGAATAGATTAATTTATCCGTTAACAATGAAAACTTTATTGGTTCTCTTCATTTATTATACATTTTCAATTCATGGATCTATTCAACATGCAGCTTTAGGTCAACCAATGAAAGATAGTTCATTAGCTAAAGAAGTCTATTTTAGAACTGATTCAGGATATAATAAATGTTTAGCAATTTGTTTATATTGTTATCGTGATGTAAGTTAATCATAATCTTATTCCTAACGTATACAAAATCATAATAATCAGCCCTATTATTAAAAATATTTAATCTTACATAAATAGTTCTGAATAAGTAAACTAAATATCAGTTATTGGATTAGTCAAGTCTGATAAATAATCATTATCTGCATACATAGTCTATCTTCTAATAAACATATTCAATGTGTTAATTTTTACTAGCATGAAATGTTAGATCTAGCTTGACTTATCATAAATACCCCCCATTTATAATGTATAGCAATGGTTTAGTTGCTTACATTTTCAACTTCTAGTCAGAGTTTAAAAATAGATTAGACTGTTTAGTTTTTAAGGAGTTAAGTATTATCTGTACCAGTTGTATATCAAGCACTAATCACAGAAACTATTTTAACTTACATGTGATTACTAGTTTACATTTTAGCTATTGCTATATTTTAAGAAATAGATTATTTATTTCGATCCGACTATGATACTTCAATAATCACAAATTACCATCCAATCACAACACAATACTAACAATGTCAGGTAGCTGGAAACAATCACCAGAAATTCCTGAAACTAAGTTTTATGCATCTTGGCAGTAGTTAGCGAATCCCATCTGAAGAAAATTATTATTCCTAATGAGTTCCAAAGCCTCACTAACACTAGAAACGTTGCCAGTAAACTGAGAGTAGAAAGTGGAGACTCTTTTTATTAAAAAAATTTAGTATTTCTTCCCAGTCACTAAAATCATAGTGACATTTTCCTAGCTAGTATGAAAGGTGAAAATATTTATCGAAAAATCTACATTGATACACGGGAATAACCAAAAAAGTGTTCAGAAATTCTCAGTAAATTATAATCAAAAAACGTAGACTAGTCACTAAGTTATTTATTCATGACAGAAAAGGAATTAATTGTATATGAAATATGTATGCAAAACATATTCGAGAATTTATTCATTCCGATTAACTGATTCAGCTTAGTTACAGCAAAAAAAAGTTTTGGAATCAATATGCTTAACCACATAATTCAGTGTAGATTAAATAAGTGAAGTTATCTTCAGAGTTTTCAGTGGTAAATAAGAGCGTTGTACCCAGGACTTCCGGTCGCTTTTCCGTTTGTTTAGTATATAACTATCACGTATTGGGATGCATGTCCATGAAAAATTCATTTCAAGCCCCAACTTTTAGTATATTTATAAGAATATTCATCAATATCAGAACTATGAGCGCCGAGTATAGAGAAGACATTATATGTGAAAATTATATTTGAAATAATCTCAGCGATTGAAATCTAAACAATTCCAACGTTTCATCCAGCAAAGTCGTCTGAACCTTTTAAGGATTGTAATCGAAACCAGAATTATAATCCATTTATTTAATTTTCAATCGCTCAGGTTATTTCAAATATATTTTTCATATATAATGTTTTATTACATCTGTTTTATATCCGGCACTAGGTATGTGCATAGTATACAGTTGAGAATAACTCCAGACGCTTGAAATGAAATCTTTAGTGAAAATAATATACCGATATGCAGCACTCATTCAATAAATGAAGGGAAACATAACTGAAACTGGTGCATACGAAATACCTACTGAGTATTGAAAACCTTGAGGATAACCTCAGAAACTGCTTTTAGTGGTATTAACCCAAAAACTAGGAGTATGGAAGTTCTCCCGATACTGAACCAAGAATATTTGGATATAAATTTATTGATCACCTAATATAATAATACTAATGTTAATACTATTACCCATAATTATAATAGTATTAATAATAATCCCTATGCTCCATTGGGAGTAACAGGAGTAAGTAAGTACCATTTATTGAAATGAATTCATCAGTCATCAGTTTATAGGTCTAACTTAGTATTCGTTACTCTGTTTCATAAACTCAATCTAATTATCATTACGTACATCGTGTGTTTTTGTGCATATTTCAGCAAAAGTCATTTTATGATTGTGCAAACGTTCAATGTCCATTGTTACAAGATGCAGATTTTCCACCGCATTTCGATGAGGACTGTGTATTACTTTCATCTTTAAGCATGAAACTGAAAGAATCCCTAATACACTAAGCAAAATTTGATGGAATTATTACAAACAAAAAGTATAGAAAATCTATTTCTCAACCGTAAATATTGTATCAAATGCTTGCCAATAATATTTAATAAATCTATGATTTTATTAGAGATGATTCTGTCTATATTATTTAAGTAGAACAATAGTGGGTAAAGAGAGTATGAATTTTAGATTGCTGTGCATTATAACAGGTTACAGAATGATGTATTCTATTTATCCACTTGATTAATTTTCATTCGGTTCAATTTATGAGTGTCAAGAAGCAAGGTGAATTTCATGTTTATATTTGTCTCGAAAATTGTGATTTATAAACCTTTAATTCATCATAATACAACGACATTTACTAGTTACTTTCTGATAATGATTCCAAATACTAGACGAAAACCGAAATTAGTTATGGATATAAGCATTAGTCATATTCAGGTTAAACAACCGCTACATACTAACGCAATACATAACTAGAAAAAAATCCCTTCTCCAAAGCTTTTGCTTGAAAATATAAGATAAAATGTTTAGTGATTAAATAAATATAGGGTCACTGAACTTGGATATCAACTAACAAAAATAGTATGACAAAAGTAACAACTAGTGAAAACAGTTGATTAGGTAAAATGAAATGAAAAGTGACAACTAGGAATTTAGAGCGGGACCAAAAACAATAAATCTGATTATGGAAAGCTCTACTATTATTATAAGCTGAGTCTCGAGTTCTCCACAGCAATGGTAATTCATTCACCATCTGTTGATTCCAATAGTACACTTTATGAGCGTCTATACATGCACTCAATAGCATTATACACCGGTTTCGTTGACGCTGATGTTGCTATACAATGATATCATCAATAGAAGTATGAGCAAATTCTGTCTCGTCTTATTATGAAAATACCTGTACGAATATCAGAACCAAACTTCAACGAACTTGGTTACTGCATAAAATGGAACCAACTTTCGTTTGTTATTCTTATGTGTGTATCCATCTATCTAGGCTATAAATGTAGTTTGTAATTAGCAGATATCTATCTTCCTAACAGGAGTGAACCACCAAGAACTCTGATTATCAGGTCAATTCAACCACGTAATTCTGTCGTAAGTGTTTCCACCTCTCATGAAAATCTTAATGGCTAGTAGTGAGACATCCATAATTTCAAAATGTTTTGGATTTTTTCAAATTTAATAAAAAAAAGTAGGAAGTAGCAGTTATACGGGCTTTGTTTAATGGAACTAATTGGGTATTTTCACGTGAATTAAAAAAGCGTGATTCCCAACGTATGCTGTACAATAATCTTCAATTCATGACTAAAGACGCTCTAAAAATAAACGTGACTTTCCTACACAGCTGGCTATAGATGTTACTCGATCATCAAAGGAGATTCTGCACTAGATCCGATAGTTACTTTAGTTCTTTTAATGTTAAAATGTACTAGCATCACAAACTCATAGTTTTTGGTATTTAAAGTGCTCTAATATAACTAACACGACCCCTGGTTTCTTAGAAGACACTAAAAGTACTTTGAGAATAGTGTACCAATACATGGTTTGCAGGACCCATGACAAAATAAATCTGCTATACACCACCTCGAAATCGAGTCACCTAGTGTATGTTTACCTTTGCGTCTATAGTGGAGATCACGGAATGTACACAACCTGTACCCCACACTATGAGATAGAACTTCCGTATAGAATTATCTAAATCATTCTATGTTCAATTTAGGGCCTTTTCGAAACATTTACAAACTTCAGCTTAGGTTTTTTATAAAAGGTTTTGGGAGTGGTTTGATTTTTTAATAAATGACGGTTTAAACTTCCCTATCTCACTGAGGAACGTCAATTAAGTAGTTGGAATTTCCAGATATCCTACTTGATTGAGTATCTTAAAGTTTAGAACAATATGGGAATATTTCAAATATCTTAAAGTTGTATTGACGTTAGTCTACCGCATCTACTTTAGAAGAAAAGTAATCCAATTTTTCCAATAATAAAACGGACATTATATTTAACCTTTATGTTAAAGTGCTGAGTCGAAACTCACTATGGTGAGTTGGGGCTATACAATCATGTAGTTCTGATTTGTCTTATCGTGCTGTAGAATCGATATTTATTCCTTTGACCAGAAAACATCACATGATAAAAATCCAAAATATTTGATTACTACCCTGAAGAAGTCCAGACAAGTAAGCTTTACGAAACGTTGGAATTTCAATCGCTGAGATTACTTCAAATATATTTTTCACATATAATGACTTCTCTTTACTCGGCGCCCAATTTCTGTCAAACTATTCGTTCTAATCTTGACGAATATTCGTAGAAATCCAAAATATAGTTTAACTAAACCATAGTACTATAAGAAGGTACACAAAATATTGGATTTTCTGTCCACAACGGTATAATAGTCATATTAAAATTGACTCCTCCTGATATCCTTGGTTCTTTAATAAGTATCCTTACTCCAAGTCGAGACAATGCATCTATTTGCATTAACGATTAGAAGCTAAGCATCAGGATACGTGGCTTCCAAATAATGAATTCAAATTTTCTAAGATGACGTTTTAAGGCTATTTCCAGTGAAGGACTGGTTATCGTAATTTAAATAGTTGCCATCTAAATATAAGTTAAAACTTGTAGATTTCTCCATGGTGCGTCTTCACATTTAAAAGATAAATGTAATATGAATTGGGAACACTGAAAACAATGTTGAGATTAGATGGTGGTTGGAGGTAGTCAATAGGAAACCCGGGTTTCGTGCTATTTGGCACTCGTCAGCAAAGTGTACCTGTAATCTTGAGGGAACTGATTCTCCTTGGCTGGTTCGATCCCGTGTCACCCAGCTTCACAGTCAGATACGTTATCACTAGGCTATCCGGGCCATGACCGACCTCCTGTAGGACTGAGATGTAATCACAATTGATTGATCACTGGGTGTGTCAAGTCCTTAGTGCAAATCGAATGCTATCGACCAAGTGAACACAATGTCGAGTCACCTAGACTAGCGGCCACATTGCAACATGATCGATAGCATTCGATCTGCACTAAGAAGGACTTGACACACATGACACTGATTATCACCCAGTGATCAATCAATTGTGACACTGAAAAGAAACTAACAGTATTTATTTTGTTGTTTCAGGAAGATTTGCTGAAGAGTAAGTACATACCAGTCCTAGTATGAATTATGAGATTACTTTAGTAGCCGAAAACTAGGATGCACTTGATGCCAAAATCTGAAATAGTTGCAGTAAGGCAGTCAGAGACTAAAAACTCTAAACAGTGCTGCAATACCTTCTTCTTATCCCTTTTCTCACATCCAGTGTTCCTATATTTCTAAGCCATTTCAGCATATGGATCTACACTTTTACTATTTCATTATGTTACTGATCATTATTATGCAAACCGCGTTTCTAAAAATAAATCTACAAATTATTTTTCAGCAAACTGTTAATCGATATCCTGCATCAACCATACGTATCATTTTAAGACCAAACAATGAGTAAGAGATGGTGATGGGTATAGACTAATAGTTAAGATATGGTATGATTATCCGACGGGAACAAAAATACACTATTGGTTGGAAATCTGGATCAATATTTTGAGGGGCATATATCTATATTAATGAGTTTGTGAATATATCTGATTTGGTTTACCAATACTGTTTTCTGATAACTTATAGTCTTCTTACGAAGGTTAACATGTCAGACTTGTGTATAGGAAATGTGCACAATGGTTTTAGAAATCAGACGACCCCCCCCAACAATAATAACGAACTACCAACTCCTGTTAGTAGATAATTATGTGTACATATTATTATCGCAAAGTTTTAATAAACGATACCATCCATAGAATTCTTTGCAATTTATTTATATACAAAAGAATACCATCTGCTCAATTATTTTATCATTTTGATTGAATGTCAAGTAAATACTATGATTTTAAATAAGATAATAGGAAATTAGAAATTACCAAATGTATACACTTAAAACAACCATATCAAATTTTATAATCATGGAAAATAGTGTTCAATAACGACTGAGCACTGTTTGTAGACAACTGTCAATTAGCATTGCATCTTGTTCCATTTTCATGGACCAACATTCAACATCACCTAGTTCTTTAAGTACATTACGAATATCGGAAACAAGCTTTAGCCATACATTGACATGGTTCTGATAAATATGTAGTTGAGTTATTAACTCTTTGAATTCACTGTTTAGTCGATGCTGATTTATATATGCCTAAAAAAGACAGAAATCAAGTTAATGTATGTTGTATTAAATGAATGCTAAATATTGAATATAATATAAGCTTATGCTTAATGTTACTGAGTTGTTCGAGTTTTATAACCAAAAACTAATTGTTGAAAAATGTTCTAGTATAATAATTGGCATAGATGACCTGATTTGTAATAAGTAGTGTGGCTCATATTTATTTGGTGCCCTCTTGTACCAATATTTATGTGTTCAACTAAATAAATAATTTGTAATAAGTATCACTACCAGTATCATATGAGTCAAAACTTTCCATAATAAATCTAAATGAAAAATAGCAGTCAATGGAGTCGATGTAATGCCTCAACTGTAACAAAATCACAAGGTCCCAAACTCAACCAAAATGAATTCATTATTGTATATAAAATAAGAATAAAACAATTTTCAAACTCCTTTTATATCTCAAAAATTCTCCGGTTGATTTCAATTTAACAAAATCCTATAAAACAAAGTAGCAACCACGAAAAATGACTGGGCTTAACTCTCGTCAGTTCACTTTTAAGATGTACTCTAAAGTTGTCAATAGTTTAAATATTTTTATTACACGTCACTTGTGTATTTTTGAAGTTCCATTCCTAGTAATACAATACAGAACGAGGCGATTTTTCATTAGATTATGTAGGCGGAATTTCTCCGCTTTTTCAGGTTTAGAAACAAGTATACTTAATAGTTCCTGCTTGATCTAAAGACCTTATTTGACTTTGTCAGCAAAAGTCCTGTGTAGGTGTTTGGCTGTGACAGGAGGGCAGGATAATAGTACTTTTTTTCTAGAAGCTCGTTAGACAATATTATTGAACGTGTAAAAGTTATCTTTTAAAGTAATAGTAACAAGGTATTCGCCAACAATATTTACAATATCTCAGTTCAATACTACTACAAACAGATAGAAACAATTATACTTACAGATAACATTTCATGGAAATCTATTTCCTATTTGAAGATTCACAAATTCTCCTGGAGTTCTTTATGTACTCTGACAAAATTCAGGGTTGTAGTATCTTGAGAGAATATTAGTTTTACATCGCACTCGTCAAAATAAGAACAACACTTTAGTAATAACTACTAGCAGCATCTAACTTATGAATATTGTGATACAATTAAATGAATTAATCAGTTACACTTAAACTTATGGTTGATTGTATTTAAACACTTGCACAAACATTTCGTTCGATGTTTTCTAAATTACCCAACGTATGTTGTAAAGCCATTTGACGAGTATACTGTGTATCAGTCCGTTCTCTATTACTTAATGACCATTATCCGTAGCCCCAGGAGATATGGGTAGGTTACGAGTATTCTACATAAATCAGCACAATTTGGGAATTTCAGCTTTAACTGGTATAGTTTCTTTAAGATTTTGTCGCTTGAGCAAACAAAAATGTACTTTACAATTAGGCAATTAATACTAGTTTACGCAATCGACTTTACTAATAAGCTAGACTGTCATATGCTACTCGAATGAAATTGGGGCCCACGGTACTAACCAGTAAACTTCTATCCTGAGGTTGGAACTTTGTATTCATCGAGCAAAACTCAGTCAGTAACAAAGTAGAACTTCGTACGTACGTACATCAGTTCGAGTTGCCACACCACATTAGCACAGAGATGCAGTGGTCGATTCAAATCCCGTAGTGGTAGAGGTGGTAAGAGTACAAGCAGTAATAGGAAAGACTAGGGTTTGAAGATGTTATTCAAGGAGTTTAATGCAGTGAAATGAATTTGGAAAGAGGAAAAAAAGGGACATGAAGAATTCAGAAGATTAGAATTTGGGAGAACACGAAGAGTGGATGCACCTGCGCCATTGCAAACGATTTTGAGCCATGTCATTCAGGGTCTCTAACCATCGGTTGCTATCATCTCGCTATTCCCAACCAGGTAGTCTACACCTACCAACATGACTCAGACCACTTGTCAGTGACTTCATGGACTTGTGCCATGTTTTGGTCTGGCCGCCCCTACCTTTCTTCCAACCTACTCCTATACCACTGAACATAGCACGTCGAGGTAGTCGGTCGTTGGGCATACGTAACACGTGTCCCAGCCATCTCGACTGACGAAGTTTCACTACTTCATCAATCGATTTGCCATCCTTACCTAGTAACCGTTTCCTAACAACTGCGTTACTTACTCGATGGTCTCAGGATATACGAGCAATGTTTCGAAGACACCTATGATCAAATACTAGTAACCTACGAATATCCTCTACTCTTACCAGCCATTTTTCACTGCCATAAAGTAGGACGGAACGAACTGCTGCGCAGTAAACACGTCCTTTGGTTGGTAGACGGATATCTCGCCTACGCCATAAGTGACGCAGGTTGGCAAAAGCTAGTCGAGCCTTTTGTATCCGTGCTGAGATTTCGTCACACACCAGACCACAAGGGCTGATAAGACTTCCCAGATAAGTGAAGTGGTCGACATGCTCAACTACTTCACTCCCTATCATTAGTTCGGGTGTCGATGCAACCCAATCCTGAAGCAACATTTTGCACTTCGAGGGAGAGAACCGCCTGGTTTTCTCTAGTCTGCTCTTCACAAGCTTTATTATTGAAGCTAATATTCCAGACACTATATTAGTCAAACTGATTCCTCTGTGATTGTCACAAGAGGACTTTTATCCTTTCTTATAGACTGGCACAATCAGTGGTTGAGACCAGTCAGATGGGATTACGTCCAGTTCCCAAATTCTACCTATGACCTCGGTTAATCTCATTGCTAATACTGGACCACCATCCTTAAAAATCTCAGGAGTAAACCTGTTACGGACTGTTGCTCTCCCTCGCTCCAGGTTTCCTATGGCTTTTCCAACTTCGTAAAGAGACGGAGGACCTATATTAACATGCCATTCAGGTTGACTAGAGATCGTTGGAAACCGAAGTGTGGCTGAAGGTCAGTTGAACTGATCCTTAAAGTGTTCTGCCCATCGATCCAATCTCCTGTATTGAGAATGTATAATATATCCATCTTTCTCTGAGAGTGTTTCGCTAATAGTCGGTTTCCTTAACAATTCTGAATAATTGTCTGCTATTACCTGTTGCCTCTGCCTTTTCCATCTCTCTTTCTTTCGCTACCCACCACTGTTCGTGATCATTGCGTAGGTTTCTTGTCAGCTTGCGCTTAAGCTGACTCCGCTCTTCGTTATGTTCAGAGCCAGATGGAATGAGTTTTCGAGCATCTATTAGTGCGGTAGATGCTGCTGAGATCCAGGAAGACGGAGGTTGATTATGAACACAGTGGTCTTAAGTGCTGTTAGAGGTATGAAGGCGGTTATCACTTCCCGGCTGCCCACACCGTGGAAGGGTTCTTCTGGAGGTATGTGAAAAGGAAATTAGATTAGAGGTGGTCTTAGTGACCTGAGAGCGTGACCGCAGTGCCCAAGGGACAACTGCTTGAGGTCAGTCACACACGACCTTTTTATGGGTAATTTTTGTGTTGGTTCCGTACTTGTTGGGACCTAACCACCGGAGACGGATATCCGTGGGATAAGGCGAGGTGTGCATTTTTAGGGTCGATCTTTTCTAACCCCACCCCTCCTTGTGGGAAGGCAGCATCGCTGTCATGCTGGTTGTCTGAAGGAAACACCTTACTGCTGTCACACCTCTGTACAGTCAGCAGTACGACTTCGCCTTCGGACCTTGGGTTTGTTGCTTTTAGTCTAACCGCTCTTCAATCGACCTGTCTGGCATGGTAGGACCTTGAGGAACGGTTGTTCCAGCCAGTATAGCTCGGTTGCTTCATCATGATAGGCAAGCCCGACCACCACGTCAAGGTAGCAACAACCGTCGGGGCTGAGATCCAGTGTTTCTCCCTAACCTTACGGTTTACCGTACTAGCAGATATCACTGCTGTTTCCACAGCTTTTCGGATATCATTCCATGCTGCCTCAGGGTGGGCATCACATACATGGCTGCCTAACTGTTTTCCTAGTTGTTCCTGAAATATACTCTTAGCTTGACTATCATTAAGTAGGGCCCTAAGAGGTTTCTTTGCAGTGTCTTTCCTACGTCCAGTAAGACGCAGACAGATACGCGCTCGTACTAGAGCATGATCTGAATCTAAGCATGTGCTCCAGAATGAGCGACAGTCTTCTATCGAGCCCCTCCATCGGTGGCTGATAGCGATGTGATCTATTTGGGTCCAACGTTGGGACGAATTGGGGGGTCGCCATGTTAAAAGATGTTTTTCCTTATGCTTAAAGTTAGTATTTGCAAGGAACAGGCGGTTATCTGAGCATAGCTGCAACAGACGGTCGCCATTATCTGTTCTTTGAGCCACGACGCTATAAGATCCACCTAGGTGTCTTTCCTATCGCTTAGTTTACCTACTTGAGCATTAAAGTCACCGGCCATTATTACTACATCCGAGCGCCTAGCTTTTCGGAGAAGGTCGGAAAGCTTTCTGTAAAACTCATCTTTTACATCATCTGAGCTGCAGTCAGTGGGAGAATAGGCAGAGACGACGAAGAGGCAACGACGAGTGTCCCTATCTTTTCGGATTCTTACTGTTCCGTTCAGTCGGACAGCGCACAAACGACTGTCCAGTCTAAGAGAGCTAGTTCTGCCCTAGGACTCAATGCTATACCTACGCCGGCGAGGCCACGGGAAGCATCATCAGGGCTTCCAGATACACGAAGTGTGAATCGAGTCGGTTCTTTATTTTGGCATGGTGAGGTCAAATGAATGACGCTACTCGGATCCTGTATGCGCGTTTCGGAGACGCAGCACACATCGATGGCGCGAGATTCTAAAGTCCTAGCTAAGGAAGCCTGTTGTCCTATTTGGCAAAGTGTTCGTACGTTAAAAGCTCCTATGTGTAGTTTAGAGCGTGGTTTCAGGAGACCAGGAATAACGTTCCGTATACCCAAATCGTTTGCCCTAGCGGTGCGAGGTGATAAAGCGACGTGAGAAGGTTTAGTCGGGGAGATAAGAGAGGTATAAGGAGGTGTAGGAAGGATTTGAATGTGACCAACTTGTTCTCATGTGCTGTTACGGGTATGAGGGCTGATGTCACTTCCCGGCTGCCCACACCGTGGAAGGGTATTTCTTGAGGAACCTGAAAAGGAAATTGGATTAGTGTTGGCCTTAACGACCTGGGAGCGTGACCACAGAGCACAAGGGACAACTGCTTGAGGCTGGTCACGCACGGCCTTTTTGTGGGAGGTTTTTGACGTGTTAGCTCCGTTTTTCAAAGGGCCTTACCGCCGGAGACGGAAATCCGTGAGGTAAGGTGAGGTGTGACATTTTTAGGGTCAACCTTTTCTAACCCCACCCTTCCTTGTGAGAAGGCAGCATCGCTGCAGATGATGGTTGTCCAAGGGGAACACCTTACTGCCGTCACACCCCTCTACAGTCAGCAGTACGACTTCGCCCTCAGACCTTGAGTTGCTGCTCTTAGTCTCACCGTTCTCCAATCGACCTGTCTGGCATGGTAGGACCTTGAGGAACGGTTGTTCCAGCCAGTATAGCTCGGTTGCTTCATCATGATAGACAAGGCCGACCACCGCGTCAAGGTAGCACCTACAGTTGAGCGAAAATACTGATAAATCAAATGAGCTCCTGCCCAGTCAAATGCACAAGATAGTTTAAGGAAGTATTCGTTTTAAGTAAACTAACACACTTCCAATCTACAGAATATGACAAAAAACAAACTGTTGTTTTATTTTAAAAAAAGCTGAAACAAAATACCAAATACGCTTTATCAGATTCAACTGAATGCTACTAATATGATAAGAGTATTATGTCTAGAAAACGGTATCAAATGCCCACCAGTAAATATGTGAACATTATAAAAACCAAACTAACAAATCATACCACATCAGACATCCTATCTCGGTCTTATTTCCTATGGAGTGATTAATGATGCTAATGTTAGGGTTGAATTCGCAGTTAAAACAGACGGAAAATTTGAGTCACACAAACGAGAATGGTAGATGTCCCCAGGAAAAACTTTCTTTGAGGATTTGATTACCAATAATAAGTCAGTAGACCACTATTATTATGCGTCTGGGGATCTGAGATGTGAATGAAAACTTGAGGCATCATGACAAAGCACACCCAAAACCACTTATGTTTGAAAGTGTTTTTACCTTTTTTTATGAGTTACCTGTTTGTCTATGAAAGCATTACTCCCTTAACATAAATAGCATTTATACTAGCTTTGCGAAGCTTATTAAAGTCTTATGAATGTGGAAAATGAGATTTTTCCAACAGCCATAAGTTTTAAGGATAAGGGTCACACATCTATCAGACATACTGCAATATGATCACTTTTTGCCAAGTTTTTCCATAACAGTATAGTATGTTTGTTCACTTATACCTAAATGAATACGAAAAATAAAATTATCAATAGACTTGGTATTTCTTCTTATTTAACAACTATTGAACTATCTGGGGATAACCTAAAACGAAATAATACTCCAGTCCTAACGTAAAGTCCCAAAACTGTAAACAAAGCGACAATATAGTTAGCTGCAACATCAAAGAAAAAATTTAACTACATATATTCCTACAAATATTCAAAAGACAACTATGACAACACTTTGAACGAAAAAGTTCAGTTGGAATTGGTTTGCGATATGAGTGAGGATGATTATGAATTAGAAAAATATCGATGTTACCCCTGATTTTAATTTACACGGACAAGGAAACTAACTATTTTTTTTTGTGCAAAGCCCCTGACGAATTGGGTAAGAAACACTATGTTTGTGTATCGGCAGTTTTCAGGCAAAGTATTTCTGAATTCTATCGACAAATCAAACAATCTAGGAAAGGGCACTTTACGTAGAGAAAAATATTTGCTGAAACCTTAAGAAAGGAAAAAAACTGGAGGGCAATGGCACTAACAAAAAGAGAGAAACACCTGTTTTCAAAATCAATGCTATAAATATGAAGAAATGGTATTACTTTTGACACATTCTCATCGATTCTGGTTAATAATCCATTCGTCATCTCATCAATTGAAATAAGCATAGTTTGCTTTTTCGTTTCCAGCTGAGCTTTTCTAAGAGTCTTTTCGTGTTGGTATTCCTTATAAATTAGAGATAACATTCAACAATCTAACACGGACGTTCTTGGATCAATCAGTTGACCTAAGGCAACGTGTAACTGACTCCTAGTTAACTGAGAAAAAACATGGGAAAATACCATAAAATAACACTGATTATAAGGCTCTTGTAGATTAGCTCGCATGCGTTCATTAGAAAGTAAACTCTTCAAGCATGAGGTAGATTACTAGTGCATGTTAGCAACCAACTTTTTGATACCGATCATCTGCTATTATTGACAACTAATCAGCCTGGTGTTGATATAAGGACAAACTTATGTCGTTTGATCCACATAAACGTGGGTTATGTAAAGCATTCCAAATAATATCAACTGGTGAGGGGTTACACCCTAGGTTGCTGGACTAGTGTAGCAGTATTGTCCCGGAATCTGCCATTGCGTCCTGTAGTTACGTTCATTAAGTACCTAGTGAAGTAAATTGCATAGTTCCGGTTTTTTTATTAACAAATTGTAGGTCGTTTTACTACTGAAATGTCTCCACCTGTTCATCTCTCAATGAAGCAACAGCTAGACAGAGTTGCAATTGAGATGATGGTGACATAACTGTAAGGAAGGTCAACGAAATCCTGGACATTTTTCGGGTGTGAATTCCTGAACTGGCCATGTACGTCCAAAGTGTACTTTGTCGTTGCTACAATGTGGGACCCAATTTTCTAGTTTCGCAAGTGTTCACAGACCTAACTGTAATTTTTCTAGTTTAGCAAACATTATTGTTATACCAGCGGTACGTAGTCAACCTTTCACATCGCATTATGGATTCATAGGTTGGATGATTGCTATGATATAGGGCATTCGTTTGTCTACTATTGGTAATTTGGATGTTTCGATACTGCGTTTGAAATGCAGAAAAGTAACTTTTTCTTTTTGTAGAACACTGAATGAAAGTTCAACACCAACCTGATATATGCAACGGGAACGCATTAGCAACTGTTAAGAATTCGAGGACATTATTTATTGGTGGGAAAATTGCTTTTTTAACTGTTAAACATTTCCACTTATAGCGCACCAATTTTTTGATTACGGCGATGCTTATCTATAGCGACAGATTGATTCTTCTTATCAACTATGGTTCAAGTGCTTTGGAATCGCGTTCACTTTGAGGAGTGAACTGAAAATAAAATTGAATGGGCACGTAGTAACTTTTGTGCACATGTTATTAAGTCGACTGGATTTTCTGTACAATCAGCTGATTGTACAGACCACTAATGGTCTTGGGGATAACCCAGAATCGTGCAGAATGTCCCCAAACTGCGAAAAAAAATATTGAGGTCAAATCACAGAAAGCAGATGGGTTTTCCCAAAGTGTCATAAGATTCCAGGGAAAATTTGGGGTTCTTGTGCTATTTCCCGAAAATTTCCTATGATGGCTTTCCTAAAATTTCACCAAAAATAGAGAGGTTGGGCCCATCAAATAAATATTATAAATACAGTGTGTAACATAAGATAGGTTCACTCAGTGATTCCAAATGTTTTGGAAAAACTAGTGAGTGAATACTTGTGATTTGTAGAATTCGACCAAAGGGCCGCCGAAGAACATACTTGAGAGCGATCATTATCCAATTTTTTTCAGACCTCAGTGATAAGGATAGGAGGTCCATCGACCTATATTAATCCTTGCAGTTTTCAACAATAAGGAGTTCCAATCTCGTTTCGAATATATCAATAGAATGTGCTAGTATTTCGTGTTCCGGCAGAGAATTTCAGTAATCCACTACTCGGTGCGAGAAACCAAACTCCAGACGTAAACGATTTGATCTCGGTTTTTGAACTTTCTTCGAATGTCCTTTCAAATGATCAGTCCTAGATGGAAGCAAAAGATAAGACATGTTAATACCAGGGTCATCGTTCAGAATACAATAAGCCAATATTAGATCACCCCGTATTCTACGGTAAGATAACGGAAATAAGTTAATGTGTTTCAGTCTGTCTTCATAAGATAGGACAGACAAACTCTGTACCATCTTAGTACCTCGTCGTTGGACTCTTTTCAGCATATCTGCTTCATACTTGAAACAAGGATTCGCTGCTTGGATCCCATGTTCCAAATGTGGTCGCACATAAACTGGGTATAATAATTTAAACATTTCGTCATCTAAGTACTGGAAAGACCTACGAATGATCCATAATACCCTGTAGCCTTTTGCAGCAGCAGCCTTACAGTGACTGGTGGTTTTGAGATCACTGCCTAATATGAATCCTAAACCTTTATAGTGTCTTACTTTGGGTAGCACGAATCCACATATTGTGTAGTAATACGAATCATCATAGTTATTTAATTGCATCGCCACACTCTTATTAGGATTTACTTCTATTGACCACCTGTCCAACCATGCCACCAATGAGCTAAGATCATTCTGTAATACCATTCTATCCGACATACTGTGAGTCTCCGAATTTTTATGACACCAGCGAAGAGTAGAACGGATGATTTTGCTACAGTTGGCAATTCATTTACGTAAAGTAAAAAGAGAAGAGGACCGAGGATTGTTCCTTGAGGAACCCCACTTTTTAAAGGTACCCACGAGGAGAGAGCCCATTAACCCTTACCCTTTGTCTCCTGTCATGGAGAAAGTTACTTATCCAATCGACGACTGTAAAATGGATTCCAAAACGTTCCAGTTTGAATTTAAGACCAGAGTGGGAAACCTTATCAAAGGCCTTACTTAGATCTATGAAGATCACATCCACAGGAATATTCCGATCCTTTGCCGCAGCCCAATCTTCTCTTGCAATCAGTAGATTTCTCAAGTATGATAAGCCTCTCCGAAAACCATGTCGTCCCTGGAGAAAAGATTATGCCCTTCAAAATAGTTTATGACAGATATCCGAGTGATTTTTTCCATTAGTTTTACAACCACACTAGTTAAGCTAACGAGTCTATAGTTACTAACTAAATCCCTACTCCCAGCCTTATACACCAGACTTATTATAGCGTCTTTCCAGTCTGGACTGTCTCAGAGGCATGTCAAATAGTATGGTGGTTTAGCAATTTCATCTGATATGGTTTTCATAATTCTAGGATGAATATCATCAGGACCACTGGACTTACCAGGTTTGAGATGCTGAAGTAGCCTTAAGACAGTACGTTTCTCAATGACAACAGGGTCCATCAACGAGCCGCCACAATCACAATGAATCGTTGGTCGTACTTCATAACTGATAGAAAACACATTAGTGAAATATTCCGATAAAGCTTCAGCTTTTTCGTTATCATTTCTTGCCAAGATTCACGGAGTTCCTTGTATCAAAAGTTATTGGAATCCAATCGCTTCTCTGAGTTTGTCTTTTTATGTACGACAATAACCGTTTCGGACTATATCTACAATCCCTAATCAATTGTTTTTCATATATTCGTCTAGTCCTACATAATAACGCTTTAAAGGCATTCCTAATTTTACAACAACTGGGTCAGTATTGTTCTAAACCAGTAGAGATGAACATGCTCCAGTGCTTTTTCCTTCTCCTACGAAGTTTCCTGACTTCTTTGGTTAGCCATGGCGGACTGTTATTCGGTCTACGTGGTACCAGGTATGGTATGAACGAGGATGTAACTAAACTAAACTTACCTTTAAATACAGACCACGCTTCTTCAGCTGATGAGCTAATATCCACAGACCGATCTGTCTTAGCAGCGCACTCCTGAATGGCTGATATGTTAGCTCTCCATACATTTGGGCAGGGTGTAACCTGGTCGTATAACATGTCCATAGTTTATACGCGAATGACAAAACAGCGTGATCGCTGTTCACTAACGGCGGAAGAATATTTAGGTCAACAATATCCTCGGTATCATGAGTGATTACCAAGTCCAACAGAGAAGAACCTTGATTATCACCAAAACGTGTGGATTTGGATACATCCTGCACTAATGCATGCTCCATTATTGTTATCAGGAACCTACTATCAAAGGAGTCTATAAATCCTTCCGTGGTCATCTCAGTCCAACTAATATCAGGTGCAATAAAGTCTCCTATTATGAAGCATCTGTTATTTGCACTCTAAAGCTGAATGTGCTCTAAAATAAAGTCATTAGCTAAGCAAATTGGGCTGCGATAGATGATACCGAGTATAAATGTACCACATCGATAGCCGATTCACAGCCAATGACTTCACAAGTACCGCTATCATGGGGTTCGCTAGCAGAGGATTGGATATTTATATTATTGGCTATATATAAAAGGATGCCACCTCCTTAGATAGTGGTATCCGGATAATTCTGGAGTAATGTCTAAATCATGGACTTGGTAGCATTCGCTCCCATGACCTGACTATCCGAAAACCCAATGAACGGAGACTTTCCTCACCGTTTTGTCGAAGGGTTTCTCGTTCAGCTAGTGCCCTCTTCCTTTTTATTCTGTCTTCAAGAGACATATCAGATCTAACTCAGATACCTGAATTGTCGCAACTACGAGCGTTAATTAACAGGAAATGACGTTGCTTCTCCAATCCTAGGATTGCCCTAAGGAGTCTACATGGTCGGGATCCAACATTGTCCTCGGTCCTCTTACCTATTCTAACCAGTTTTTGACCTGAACTCCTTTAGAGTTATCTGGTAAGATACTACGAGTATATTCACCCAGGGTCGTTTGACTCCAGCAATTTGCTCACATTATTATTTGATGAGACTAGATTCTCCTTCTCAGTCACGCCAGGGTGGAATTCACTCTTACTATCAGACTTTGGTAGTGCATTTTGTGACTCACAATGGGAGTCCACCAATGACTTATTAACCGGCTGCGTACTGCCTATAGCTTTTTTCTTTCCGTTTCGTTTTCTCCGTACTGTACTGACACATTCTTCACTGTTAGTGCTCGTGTTTTCAGTACAACCGCCATTGTTTTTCTTACAGGCCAAAGCCAATGGGCTCATAGCCTCCTGCATTAGTAACGTCTTATTTGCAATAACTGGATTTTCATTACGTATTTCCGTCTGGTAAGTTCTCCCCTGATACCCACCAGATGATGTTACTCTTCAAGCTTAAAACTAATGCTTACTAAGAATATGTGGTTGCCTGAGAATAGTTGCAGCAAACGTTCATTATTATCTGTGTCTTGAGCTGTGACCCTGTTAAACACACCTAAGTGTCTTTTGTCTTGGCTTAAACTGCCTACTAGGGCGTTAAAGTCTGGTATGATTAGATCGGATTGTTTGACTTGTAAGAGAAAAGACAGCTTTCGGTCAAATTCATTCTCTGCTTTACACAAACTGCACCCAGTGTGAGCGTAGCGAAGACGACAAAAAGGTGACGGGGTATATCCCAATCTCTCCGAGTTCTTACTTGACCATTTAATGAGGCAGAGCACCGGTAACTGTCTACTACGCTCTAATTTAAGAAAGCTTATTTTGATTTTGAACTCAGAGTAACATCTACGCAGGAGAGGCCACGTGAGCTAGGAGCCAGGCCTATTTTTAGCTCATCCACAGTGTTTCAGTATGGGAAACGCTCTTAATGAAGGGGTTAATGATACTACCCGGCAGTCCAGATCTGAAAAAGTGACGAGGAATTCAGGTCCCCAAATACTCGGAGCGTAAATCGTTCCGGTTCTTTATACTAAATTTGTGGTAAAGTGGATGACCACACTTCGATTCTGGATACGTATATAGATGACATGGTATACTACAGTCCTAACCCATGAATTTGATCGACATAAGTCCCGAACAACGGAATTTCTAACATGAAGTTCAGGGCGCGGTCTCACAAGTCAGTTAGCCACAACGTATGATGTGGCACATATATGCATCGGTCCAAGTTGCCACACCTCATTAGCAGAACAAGACGACCACCAAACTCACAGAAGTTACTTCAATAATAAAAATGAGTGCATATACAGATATGATGCAGAAAGAAATTCGAAGAAAGGCATAAGATCATCTTAATCTTTTGGCTTAAGGGATGACAAGGAGTGCATACACCTATGTCATTGTGATCGATTCTGAGCTATATCACGCAGAGTTGTCCAACCATTGGTTACGATAGTCGCGCGAACCTCAACCAAGTAGTCTGCATCTACTAATGTGGCTAAGACCAGAAGTCAGTGACTTCAAGCACTGATGCCACGTCTTGGTTTGGCCGCCCCTAACTTTCTTCCGACCATCTGCAAAAGTAGCCAGCATCGCTCATCGTGGTAATCGGTATTCAGGCATACGCAATGCGTGGCCCAACCATCTCAGTTGACGAAGACACACAACCTCATCACTGATTTACCATCATTCCCTAATACCCTGCGTCTAATCTCACTATTACTTATCCGGTGATCCCAGCAGATGCGAGCAATATTTCTAAGACGTTTGTAGCTTACGAGTATCTCCTACTCTTAATGGCCACGTTTCGCAGCCGTAAAGTGGAACAGAACTGCCGCACAGCATACTCGCCCCTTAATTGATAGACGGATATTTTGCCTTCGCCACAGGTGACGTAAGTTGACAAAAGCCAAACGAGCTTTTCGAATCCGTGGTGAGATTTCGTTCAACACCAACCCATTGGGGCTGATCAGACTTCCAAGATAAGTGAAGTTGTCGACGCGTTCAACTACTTCA